ATGAGGCCCTTTATCTACTTCCACTGAGTCAGATGAACTTGTGGATACCATTTTTATGTATCCATGAGTTCCAGTCATTGCGCTAACGCTAGTTAGCATTGGCTAGCGAAACTACCTCTAACTTCCTTCATACTGGACACAGAGACATAAAAATTGTATTCACGACTCTGGGGAAGTAGTTAAAGGGCCTCATTGCCAAAACCCCGAAGTATCCCTTTAAAAGGAGCAGATAAGGGATGGCATGGATGGCATACAAAATAATATGCCAAGTACAGTAGTGTATTGTCCTTGACATGTTACAACCAATAATGTGTATAAACCCTTGATGACTGACAGGGGGCACTGTATTGAAGCCACCACGGAGCCATCTTGTAACTTTTTTTGTAACTTTGGCAAAAGGTAAAGTCTACAAAACTTAGTCCACTCTATTCATTACATATTTTAGTTTTGGGAACTGAAAACTGTATTGAGATCAAATGTTTAATCGATGAGAAGATTAGCAGAATGTCAGCCAAAATCCATCTCGTTCCATCTTCTCCCACTGCCGGCCACAAGCGGATGCTTCACATTTATACATCCAGTGAAATATCTGTCTCATTGTTCTATCTGTGATAACAGCCTCCACTCATCTGGGAAGGCTTTCCACTAGATGTTGGAACATTGCTGCGGGGACTTGTTTCCATTCAGCCACAAGAGCATTAGTGAGGTCGGGCACTGATGTTGGGCGATTAGGCCTGGCTCGCAGTTGGCGGTCCAATTCATCCCAAAGGTGTTCGATGTGGTTGAGGTCAGGGCTCTGTGCAGGCCAGTCAAGTTCTTCCACACCAATCTCGACAAACCATTTCTGTATGGACCTCGCTTTGTGCACGTGGGCATTGTCATGCTGAAACAGGAAAGGGCCTTCCCCAAACTGTTGCCACAAAGCTGGAAGAACAGAATTGTCTAGAATATTATTGTATGCTGTAGCGTTAAGATTTCCCTTCACTGGGCCCTAGCCCGAACCATGAAAAACAGCTCCAGACCATTATTCCTCCTCCACCAAACTTTACAGTTGGCACTATGCATTGGGGCAGGTAGCGTTCTCCTGGCATCCAAACCCAGATTTGTCCGTCGGACACCCAGATGGTGAAGTGTGATTCATCACTCCAGAGAATGGGTTTCCACTGCTCCAGAGTCCAATGGCAGGGAGATTTACACCACTCCAGCCGACGCTTGGAATTGCGCATGGTGGTCTTAGGCTTGTGTGCGGCTACTCGGCCATGGAAACCCATTTCATGAAGCTCCCGACGAACAGTTCTTGTGCTGACGTTGCTTCCAGAGGCAGTTTAGAACTCGGTAGTGAGTGTTGCAACCGAGGACAGATGATTTTTACGCGCTTCAGCACTTGGCGGTCCCGTTCTGTGAGCTTGTGTGGCCTATCACTTCGTGACTGTGCCGTTGTTGCTACTAGACGTTTCCGCTTCACAATAATAGCACTTACAGTTGACAGGGGCAGCTCTAGCAGGGCAGAAATGTGACGAACTGACTTGTTGGAAAGGTAGTATCCTATGAAGGTGCCACGTTGAAAGTCACTGAGCTCTTCAGTAAGGCCATTCTTCCGTTTGTCTATGGAGATTGCATGGCGGTGTGCTCGATTTTATACACCTGTCAGCAATGAGCTTCTACTTCTAAAAATCCACCTTTCCAGAAATAAGTCTCTCACTGTTGCCGCTTGCTACAGACCCCCCTCAGCCCCGAGCTGTTCCCTGGACACCATATGTGAACTGATTGCCCCCCATCTATCCTCAGAATTCGTACTGCTTGGTGACCTAAACTGGAATATGCTTAACACCCCGGCCAACCTACAATCTAAACTAGATGCCCTCAATCTCACACAAATGATCAACGAACCTACCAGGTACAACCCAAAATCTGTAAACATGGGCACCCTCATAGATATCATCCTGACAAATTTACCCTCTAAATACACCTCCGCTGTCTTCAACCAGGATCTCAGCGATCACTGCCTTATTGCCTGCGTCCATAATGGGACACTGTAAAGTCCATGGAGAATAAGAGCACCTCCTCCCAACTGCCCACTGCACTGAGGCTAGGAAACACTGTCACCACCGATAAATCTACAATAATCGAGAATTTCAACAAGCATTTTGCTATTTCTGGCCATGCTTTCCACCTGGCTACCACTACCCCGGCCACCAGCTCTGCACCCTCTGCTGCAATTTGCCCCCCCCCCCCCCCCGCTTCTCCTTTATACAAATTCAGACAGCTGATGTTCTGAAAGAGCTGAAAAATCTGGACCCCTACAAATCAGCTGGGCTAGACAATCTGGACCCTTTCTTTCTAAAATTAGCCGCCGAAATTGTCGTAACCCCTATTACTAGCCTGTTCAACCTCTCTTTCGTAACGTCTGAGATCCCCAGAGATTGGAAAGCTGCCGCAGTCATCCCCCTCTTCAAAGGGGGTGACACTCTAGATCCAAACTGTTACAGACCTATATCCATCCTGCCCTGCCTTTCGAACATTTTTGAAAGCCAAGTTAACAAACAGATCACCGACCATTTTGAATCCCACCGTACCTTCTCCGCTATGCAATCTGGTTTCCGAGCTGGTCATGGGTGCACCTCAGCCACGCTCAAGGTCCTAAACGATATTATAACCGCAATCGATAAAAGACAGTACTGCGCAGCCGTCTTCATCGACCTGGCCAAGGCTTTCGACTCTGTCAACCACCGCATTCTTATTGGCAGACTAAATAGCCTTGGTTTCTCAAATGACTGCCTCGCCTGGTTCACCAACTACTTCTCAGATAGAGTTCAATGTGTCAAATCGGAGGGCCTGTTGTCTGGACCTCGGCAGTCTCTATGGGGGTGCCACAGGGTTCAATTCTCGGGCCGACTCTATTCTCTGTGTATATCAATGATGTTGCTCTTGCTGCTGGTGACGCTCGGATCCACCTCTATGCGGACGACACCATTTTGTATACATCTGGCCCTTCATTGGACACTGTGTTAACAAACCTCCAAACGCGCTTCAACGCCATACAACACTCCTTCCGTAGCATCCAACTGCTCTTAAACACTAGTAAAACTAAATGCATGCTCTTCAACCGAACGCTGCTTGCACCCGCCCACCCGACTAGAATCACTACTCTCGGCGGGTCTGACCTAGAGTATGTGGACAACTACAAATACCTAGGTGTCTGGTTAGACTGTAAACTCTCCTTCCAGACTCACATTAAGCATCTCCAATCAAAAGTTAGATTTAGAATCGGCTTCCTATTTCGCATCAAAGCCTCCTTCACTCATTCTGCAAAACATGCCCTCGTAAAACTGACTCTCCTACCGATTCTTGATTTCGGCGATGTCATTTACAAAATAGCCTCCAACACTCTACTCAGCAAATTGGATGTAGTCTATCACAGTGCCATCCGTTTTGTCACCAAAGCCCCATATACTACCCACCATTGTGACCTGTACACTCTTGTTGGCTGGCCCTCACTACATATTCGTCGCCAAACCCACTGGCTCCAGGTCATCTATAAATCACTGCTAGGCAAATCCCTGTCTTATTTTAGCTCACTGGTCACCATAGCAACACCCACCTGTAGTCTGCGCTCTAGCAGGTATATCTCACTGGTCATCCCCAAAGCCAACACCTCCTTTGGCCGCCATTCCTTCCAGTTCTCTGCTGCCAATGACTGGAACGAACTGCAAAAATCTCTGAATCTCTTATCTCCCTTACTAACTTTAAGCGTCAGTTGTCAGAGCAGCTTACCGATCACTGCACCTGCACACAGCCATTCTGAAATTAGCCCATCCAACTACCTCATCCCCATATTGTTATTTATTTTGCTAATTTGCACCCCAGTATCTCTATTTGCACCCCAGTATCTCTATTTGCACATCTATCATTCCAGTGTTAATACGAAATTGTAACTATTTTGCACTATGGCCTATTTATTGCCTTACCTCCATAATTTACTACATTCGCACACACTGTATATATATTTTCTGTTGTATTTTTGACTTGATGTTTTGTTTACCCCATATGTAACTCTGTGATGTTGTTTTTATCACACTGCTTTGCTTTTATCTTGGCCAGGTCGCAGTTGTAAATGAGAACTTGTTCTCAACTGGCTTACCTGGTTAAATAAAGGTGGGAGAAAAATAAATAATGGGTGTGGCTGAAATAGCCATATCCACTAATTTGAAGTGGTGTCCACATACTTTTGTATATGAAGTGTACATAATTGGTGACAACATGTCATGACCTAAATATAGGCCTATTGAATAGTTTCCATATTTTTTGCAGAGCCTGAAGTTCAGTTCACTACAATTGATAAAAACAAGCTCATTGATCAGATTGTGGTCTTCTTCTTCTTCTTCTTACAGTAGGACACAATTACATTACAACAACACAGAACAGTACAGAGGCATGACTACTGTAGTGTTTTCAAAGCTCTATAACTCTCATGATCATCAATCATTGAAAATGACATGTCTATATGACATTACGTTTTGTGTCTTATCATTCTATGATGTATTTTCTACGACCAAGATTCTACAAATAAACATTCATGTTCAATATTCACACGAGGGCAGATTTGTACTTTTTCTATCCGTCCTGCTCAATATTGCAATATACTAATAGATCTGTGTAGCACAAGGAAACATCTCATGTTCATTTCAAGGGAATGCGACAGTCCTGATGTTGTAAAGACGAGTGCGCTTTTGGAGCAGCGTTGGATGCCGTCTGTTGTTCTTAAATACTACATTACCCAACATACAACGGATAAGTGCGCCTTCTGAGAACTGCCTGTATAAACGTATTTGTTTTTGTTAAAAATGTCACATAATACGCGCAGAATGTGTCCCAAATATATTTTATGCACCAATACATTACATTGAATAAGAAAATGTTGGAGATTTGGAATTTGTAACTCTGAGGCGTAGAGAGCCTCACATTCTAAATGCTGGGTTGAAATCTCAAACATGAACGATTTCCATTCTTAAAAGGCAGGGTCCTCACATAGCGTTTGCCATCTCGAACGGTGAGCTGTCCATCAGAAGTGAAGTTTTGACGAGCACTAACTGAACTAATACTTATCGGGAGCTTGTCTCTTTACGGAGTCAAAATCTAGAGTTGAAGGCAGCGGGAGACCATGGACGTGGGCCGGGTGTTACTGTGCCTGTTCTCGGTGCTGGTGTCTGAGAAGTTCCTGGTGGCCGCGTTCTCCCAGAGCCTGGACAGCGACTTCACATTCACACTCCCCGCTGGACGAAAGGAGTGCTTCTTCCAGACAATGAAGAAGGACGCGTCGCTGGAGATAGAATATCAGGTGCCAGAGGTTTATTATTGGTTTTACAAGGGGAAAGTGTGAACACAAAGTTGTACATGAGCACACTTGATAAAACTAATGTGGGCAGCTTTGTAGACGTCGCTCTACTCACATGACTTCACAAGAAGTCCCATGTTCTGTGCATATCTCATCATTGATTGTGGTTAGCGCTGTCGTATCCAGTGGTGGAAAAAGTACCCAAATTGTCATACTTGAGTAAAAGTAAAGATGCCTTAATAGTAAAAGTGAAATTCACCCAGTAAAATCCTATTTGAGTAAAAGTCTGAAAGTATTTGGTTTGAAATATACTTAAGTATCAAAAGTAAAAGTAATTGCTAAAATATATCAAATGTATTCAAATTCCTTATATTAAGCAAACCAGACGGCACCATTTTCTTGTTTTTTAAATTTGCAGATAGCCAGGGGCACACTCCAACACTCAGACATAATTTACAAACGAAGCATTTAAACTCAGCAAAAAAGGTCTCTTTTTCAGGACCCTGTCTTTCAAAGATAATTTGTAAAAATCCAAATAACTTCACAGATCTTCATTGTAAAGGGTTTAAGCACTGTTTCCCATGCTTTTTCAATTAACCATAAACAATTAATGAACATGCACATGTAGAACGGTCATAAAGACACTAACAGCTTACAGACAGTAGGCAATTAAGGTCACAGTTAAGAAAACTTAGGACACTAGAGGCCTTTCTACTGACACTGAAAAACACCAAAAGAAAGATGCCTAGGGTCCCTGCTCATCTGCGTGAATGTGCCTTAGGCATGCTGCAAGGAGGCATGAGGACTGCAGATGTGGCCAGGGCAATAAATTGCAATGTCCGTACCGTGAGACGCCTAAGACAGCGCTACAGGGAGACAGGACGGACAGCTGATCGTCCTCGCAGTGGCAGACCACGTGTAACATCACCTGCACAGGATTGGTACATCCGAACATCACACCTGCGGGGTGGGACAGGTACAGGATGGCAACAACAACTTCCCGAGTTACACCAGGAACGAACAATCCCTCCATCAGTGCTCAGACTGTCCGCAATAGGCTGAGAGAGGCTGGACTGAGGGCTTGTAGGCCTGTTGTAAGGCAGGTCCTCACCAGACATCACCGGCAACAACGTCGCCTATGGGCACAAACCCACCGTCGCTGGACCAGACAGGACTGGCAAAAAGTGCTCTTCACTGACGAGTCACGGTTTTGTCTCACCAGGGGTGATGGTCGAATTCGCGTTTATCGTTGAAGGAATGAGTGTTACACCGAGGCCTGTACTCTAGAGCAGGATCGATTTGGAGGTGGAGGGTCCGTCATGGTCTGGGGCGGTGTGTCACAGCATCATCGGACTGAGCTTGTTGTCATTGCAGGCAAGACATCCTCCTCCCTCATGTGGTACTCTTCCTGCAGGCTCATCCTGACATGACCCTCCAGCATGACAATGCCACTAGCCATACTGCTCATTCTGTGCGTGATTTCCTGCAAGACAGGAACGTCAGTGTTCTGCCATGGCCAGCGACGAGCCCGGATCTCAATCCCGTTGAGCACGTCTGGGACCTGTTGGATCGGAGGGTGAGGGCTGAGGGCTAGGCCCATTCCTCCCCAAAAATGTCCAGGAACTTGCAGGTGCCTTGGTGGAAGAGTGGGGTAACATCTCACAGCAAGAACTGGCAAATCTGGTGCAGTCCATGAGGAGGAGATGCACTGCAGTACTTAATGCATCTGGTGGCCACACCAGATATTAACTTTTACTTTTGATTTTGACCCCCCCTTTGTTCAGGGACACATTATTCAATTTCTGTTAGTCACATGTCTGTGGAACTTGTTCAGTTTTTGTCTCAGTTGTTGAATCTTGTTATGTTCATACAAATATTTACACATGTTAAGTTTGCTGAAAATAAACGCGATTGACAGTGAGAGGACGTTTCTTTTTTTGCTGAGTTTATTTAGTGAGTCCGCCAGATCAGAGGCAGTAGGGTTGACCAGGGATGTTCTCTTGATAAGTTTGTGAATTAGACCATTTTCCTGTCCTGCTAAGCATTCAAAATGTAACAAGTACTTTTGGGTGTCAGGGAAAATGTATGGAGTAAAAAGTACAGTATTTTTTTTAGGAATGTAGTAAAGTAAAAGTTGTCAAAAAAATAAAGTACAGATACCCCCAAAAAACTACTTAAGTAGTACTTTAAAGTATTTTTTCTTAAGTACTTTACACCACTGTTAACAAGTACCTTTGGGTGTCAGGGAAAATGTATGGACTAAAAAGTACATAATATATATATTGTATATACTGTATATATATTTATATATATATTTTCTGTTTGTATTTTTGACTTTATGTTTTGTTTACCCCATATGTAACTCTGTGTTGTTGTTTTTATCGCACTGCTTTGCTTTATCTTGGTCAGGTCGCAGTTGTAAATGAGAACCTGTTCTCAACTGGCTTACCTGGTTAAATAAATAAATAAATAAATGTTCTTTAGGAATGTAGTGAAGTTAAAGTAAGTAAGTACAGATACCCCAAAAAACTACTTAAGTAGTACTTTAAAGTATTTTTACTTAAGTACTTTATACCCCTGGTTGTATCTGAACTAGGAACTAGTTGTGGAATAGGTTGAAATAAATTAAATGTATTGTAAATTCATGAAACACTAATTATAGGCCTATGTGATTTTGAAATTATGCCATCATACTAGTTTAGAAACTTGTTTTTACCAGAACTGGCTTAAAAGTTCCTTTCTAATTCAGACATTCCATCCTAGGCTGTGGTCCCTGTTACTCCTGTTTCATTGGCCTAGCCCTAGATTGTGCTCTGCTGATGTGTTTAAAATGTTTCCAATTTAGTAGTGGCCCAGAATCACATATCTCAACACAGAAGTCTGGTAAAACCTCTATTTCCTATGAAATATCTTAACATTTCTGACATTCAGGGATTGTCATACCATCACAGTAGGACAGCCTAGCTGTAGCCTACTACCACCATAGACAAGCTATCTCTGTGGCATGCTGTAGCCCACCACTCTGCCCTTGGAGTGAAAACAACACTTTGATAATGTCCTTAGTTTGTGGAGACACTCATTTCTAAGTACTTCATGGTATCTGCTCAATGTCTGTGTTTTGAAATACTTGAATAACTAGTCATGAAAGTTTGGAAACCCTGTCATTCTTTGCTCCTGAGTAACAGAGGAGGCAGAGATATGTGGAAATGCTGAAATGCTGAAACAGTAATGCAACTGTAGAGAAACAGTTACCAGGGACTGGCCTGTTCACTTATTGTCTTGAATGGACTCAATCCAACCATATTTCACTATTGAAAATGGGCCATGTTCTTGGACTGGACATTGTGAAGCCCTCTGCCTGTTGTACAACTTTTCAGCACCAGCTCTCCTCACCTCTTTCTCTGAGTGCGAATTACACTGACAATCGGGGTGGTCTCTTGGGTGAATTTTTTAAAGGGAATAATAATAATAATAATAATAATAATAAAAACGTAATTTAACTGTAAAATGAATGACCTTTTAATGTGGCATGAACACAACCAGTCATGGTTTTCATCTGATTCGTCATGCAAATCACTTAAAGTAGGCTACCTGTGCATGTTCGTCCACTCCAAAATAATTCCAGCATCAAAACAGTGCACTGCATGTACTCATGCCATTTGATGAATGGAAATGGACATCTGTTTCCAAAACACCAAGAAGTGTGCCTAATGACATTTGGCGATTGCCATTGATTAGGCCTACATTAATTGATGCGTCTTGCTGACAAATTAACATTATTTGTAGCCTGAAAAGTCGGGACACCTGAAATGGGGCTGAAAATGTCCCGTGAAAAAACAGGATGGTCACCCTAACACACACGGTCAATTTACTAGACTAGGCTACAATGTGTTTTACCATGAACTTCAAAAAGACCTACCGGTAGCCAGTGATGTAGTGGTAAAAAAGATAGGTGGGTAAACTGTAATTGTCGGTCGAGGTGAAAAAAAGTAACGTTCCCTATACTTTCAATGCATTTTTCTGAAAAAGGTGGGTAGACTGCGTTTACTTGCGTTTACCCTCCACTAGGCCAACACCACTGCCAGTAACCTACCCTCTCAGCCGAGGCAATTTTACACACATGAATACAGTGCCTTGCAAAAGTATTCATCCCCCTTGGCGTTTTTCCTATTTTGTTACATTACAACCTGTAATTTAAATTGATTTTTATTTGCATTTCATGAAATGGACATACACAAAATAGTTCAAATTGGTGAAGTGGAATGAAAAAAATAACTTGTTAAAAAAAAATTCAAATAAATTAATAATGGAAAGGTGGTGTGCATATTTATTCACCCCCTTTGCTATGAAACTCCTAAATAAGATCTGGTGCAACCAATTACCTTCAGAAGTCACATAATTAGTTAAATAAAGTCCACCTGTGTGCAATCTAAGTGTCACATGATCTGTCACATGATCTCAGTATATATACACCTGTTCTGAAAGGTCCCAGAGTCTGCAACACCACTAAGCAAAGGGCACCACCAAGCAAGCAGCACCATGAAGACCAAGGAGCGCTCCAAACAGGTCAGGGACAAAGTTGTGGAGAAGTACAGATCAGGGTTGGGTTATAAAAAAATATCAGAAACCTTGAACATCCCACGGAGCACAATTTTTTAAAATCCATTATTAAAAAATGGAAAGAATATGGCACCACAACAAACCTGCCAAGAGAGGGCCGCCCACCCAAACTCACGGACCAGGCAAGGAGGGCATTAATCAGAGAGGCAACAAAGAGACAAAAGATAACCTTGAAGGAGCTGCAAAGCTCCACAGCAGAGATTGGAGTATCTGTCCATAGGACCACTTTAAGCCATACACTCCACAGAGCTGGGATTTACGGAAGAGTGGCTAGAAAAAAGCCATTGCTTAAAGAAAAAAATAAGCAAACACGTTTGGTGTTCGCCAAAAGGCATGTGGGAGACTCCCCAAACATATGGAAGAAGGTACTCTGGTCAGATGAGACTAAAATTGAGCTTTTTGGCCATGAAGGAAAACGCTATGTCTGGCGCAAACCCAACACCTCTCATCACCCCGAGAAGCAGCATGGTGGTGGCAGCATCATGCTGTGGGGATGTTTTTCATTGGCAGGGACTGGGAAACTGGTCAGAATTGAAGGAATGATGGATGGCGCTAAATACAGGGAAATTCTTGAGAGAAACCTGTTTCAGTCTTCCAGAGATTTGAGACTGGGACGGAGGTTCACCTTCCAGCAGGACAATGACCCTAAGCATACTGCTAAAGCAACACTTGAGTGGTTTAAAGGGAAACACTTAAATGTCTTGGAATGGCCTAGTCAAGATTGCTGTACACTAGCGGAACACATCCAACTTGAAGGAGCTGGAGCAGTTTTGCCTTGAAGAATGGGCAAAAATCCCAGTGGCTAGATGTGCCAAGCTTATAGAGACATACCCCAAGAGACTTGCAGCTGTAATTGCTGCAAAAGGTGGCTCTACAAAGTATTGACTTTGGGGGGGTGAATAGTTATGCACGCTCAAGTTTGTTTCACAATAAAAAAATCTTCAAAGTGGTAGGCATGTTGTGTAAATCAATTTTAATTTCAGGTTGTAAGGCAACAAAATATTGGAAAATGCCAAGGGGGGTGAATACTTTCGCAAGCCACTGTACACGCAGAACAGGTAGCCTACATTCAATATAATTGGCCTACATGAGATGAATCAAAACATGTTTACACCATAGTTCATGAGTTGTCCATAATTCATTAGTTGAATGCTTGGAGTCTTCATAGATCACGTGACATAAAACACTACCTTTCTTTCCTTACATGAATGACATTTATGACAGTGTTATTTGTTATTATTAAACATTTAACAATTGAATTAGAACATTGAACTTAAACCCTGTATGAATCCTGGATCTTGGAGATCTCCGAAAGTGCACCATTTGTGTAACTATGCCTACGTAACATTTTCATTATCTTTCGCCGTGAAAACAGTTTTCATGGGCACACAAATCCAAAATAATGTAGGCGTATGCAATTGCAAAATGTAATGCTTGTAACTGAAAGAGCCAACTATAGGCCTACTGTCATTAACGTACACTGAGTGTACAAAACATTAAGAAAACCTGCTTTCTCTATGACTGACTGACCAGGTGAAAGCTTGATGTCACCTGTTAAATCCACTTCAATCAGTGTAGATGAAGGGGAGGAGACAGGTTAAATAAATATTTTTCTATCCTTGAGACAATTGAGACAATTAAATGTGCCATTTTAGAGGGTGAACGGGCAAGACAAAAAATGTAAGCGCCTTTGAACGCGGTATCTTAGTAGGTGCCAGGCGCAATGATTTAAGTGTGTCACGAACTGAAACCCTGCTGGGTTTTTCACACTCAAGTTTCCCATGTGTATCAAGAATGGTCCACCACTCAAAGGACATCCAGCCAACCTGACACAACTGTGGGAAGCATTGGAGTCAACATGGGCCAGCATCCCTGTGGAACGCTTTGCCCTGACGAATTGAGGCTGTTCTGAGGGCAAAAGGGGGTGCAACTCAATATTTGGAGGTGTCCCCAATGTTTTGTACACTGTGTATACTTGTTGGATGGATCAGATGCACATTGGTGTCTAGCTGTAGGCTAGTTGTCTAGTGATATTGTCGACCATCTGCTGATCCAGGAAAGAAAACAAATATTGATAGAAAACAATCAAGCTAAATAAATGGTCTACTTCTTTTGGCACAGAGAACACCAATACCCACGTGCACCTGAAAAACAAATCAATGACCACTATAAACAGCTGACTGACAAAAGCAAACAATAATGAATCAACTGATAAATCTAATGCATTGGAATAAAAGCATAGGCTATAAATGGTTTAAACCATGACATTTGGAAGGTTTTATTTTCATATTTACCACTGCATTTTAAACAAATAGGAGAATGGTTAAATTAGCATTATTTAGAGAGCCCCCTGAAAGTTGGACTTTTGTTGCATTTAGGGGAGCTATGACCCAGGGGAGCTGACCCCCCCCCCCCCCCCCCCCCCCGGGTCCTCCGTAATTTGCACCATTCTCTCTCTCTCTCTCTCTTTCAATTTCAATTGCTTTATTGGCATGATGTAACAATGTACATATTGCCAAAGCCTACTTTGGAAATGGATAATTCATTAATAATATCAATAACAACATCAATAAGAAATAATCAATAATTAGTTTGCCATGGTGTACTGTCGATTTAGGGCCAGATAGCACTGCATTTTGCTTTGTGCTTGTGTTTCCCAATAGGTGATGTAGTTTTGTTTTGACTCTTTGTCTCTCTCTCCTCTCCTGTCTCTCCTTTTACCTGTCTGTCTCATATCATCCCACCTGTCTGTGTGTGTCCTCAGGTGTTGGACGGAGCAGGTCTGGATGTTGACTTCTCCCTGTTCTCTCCTACTGGACACGTTCTGTACAGCGACCACCGCAAGTCAGACGGAGTACACACGTAAGACACACACACACCACGCAAATGTGGAATACACACTCACATGGAGTTGGACTCACTCGCTCTCTCTCACGCTCTCTCCCGGTATGTTTCTATTAGTGTAGAGACGGAGGATGGAGACTACATGTTTTGTTTTGACAACTCGTTTTCTGCGGTGTCGGAAAAGATAATCTTCTTTGAGCTTCTCATGGACAACATGGAACAGGAAGGGGAGGAGCCAGAGGACTGGAAGGAGTACGTCCATGGGACCGACATGTTGGACATGAAGCTGGAGGACATCATGGTGAGGGGGTGTGCTTACACTACATCTAGGCTATGTCCTGATTCTCCACCCTTCTCCTGAAGTGTGTACTTAAACTTTCTCACATGGATTTTACAATGGTGGAAACTCCCTCCAACAAATGCTTACACCAATTCTATGCTTTGAAATCCATGACAGGGAGTGTGCAAGTGTGTACTTCTGGAAAAGGGTGGAGCTGTAGTCCTAGCTAGGCCTGGAGGCATGCTTTTGCTTTTACACGCACTATACATGTATGACATCATGGAGGGTGCGTTTTTTTATCGCACAACATCTGTAGCACATCATGCGAGGGGGTGCGATTTCACACACAACATTTCACAGAATTCACACATGTTCTTTGAAGATCTTGGAAAGTGATTCTGGATACTGGATAGTCAAAAGAGAATCCCTGTGGATAGATTGGGAAAATAAAATAAAAATTCCTTGTGCACAATGACAACTTTTAGCAATTTACACTGAACATTTTACAAAAACACATTTACTGGAAGAACTGTGCAGATGCAAAGTTTGGTAACAGAATTTTTGTAAAATCTACCTCAGTTTTGCTCCCAATTAAGATTAAACGATGTCTGCAAAAATAATGGGGTGTCAGCTATGACATGACACATTGACTTTGAAAAACATTTTTTTGGGGGTTATTGATCTACAGTAAGTGAAGTGGATTTACACCCGGTAACAGAATTTCACCATGGGTCCCTGATCTGTACTACACAGAAATGCGTAATTATGGATATAAATGTCATGCTCTTCATGGTGCTGTATCCTAAATGGGTACACAAAGGAATAACTATGCAATATCCTCATTATTTTAATGAGCTCTGCCCCCAAACAAGACCGCATTTGGCTGGACTGGACCAAATCTGAACCAATCATAGATGTCTATGTTTCACAAGTTTGGACATCAAAGTAGAGTTCAGTACAGTAGAGTTTAGTACAGTACATTATAGTGTACTCAACTCTAGTGTGCTCTAATGTGTACTGTACTGAACTGTACTGTACAGTACTTTACTGAACTATACTTTTCTTTACTGTGCTGTCCAAACTTGTGAACCCAACTGTGATTTGTGACTACTATGATTTGGTAACGGAATTTCGAGTTTAATCACTTAATAATTCATAAAATAAAATGGATATCAGTAAAAACACTAATTGATAGGTTTACCTTTACTTTTTACTTCTGTGAACTCATGAGGGAGAGAAATTAGAAAATATCTTAAAGATATGTGGGTTTTTGGTAGCGGATTTTCAAGGCACAATTAAATGTTTCTTAAACTGACAGAAGGTAGGAGGGGTCTTTATTTGTAATAACTTTTGTAAGAAGTTTTCTGGTAGATGTTTTCTAACCCTGCATGACTGTAAGTCGCTTTGGATAAAAGCGTCTGCTAAATGGCATATTATTATATTATATTATTATTTGACACCCAATTTGACATGCTCCTATGAACTTCACGTTGGTGCTCATGGGTCCTTTTACATGGAAATGAACATTAGAAATGGTAGAGTGGTTAAGTGTGTGACCAGACGGGCAGAAGAATCTGGCTCTTGTCTGAGGCCTGTTATCTGTTGACATTGGTGTCTGTCCTTTCTTTCTGAGCCAGTGTTGCACGGTATACCGAAATGTAGGTACTTGTTCGGTGCTAGAACCTAAAAAACGGTTCAGTACTAGAATGTTTGTTACTTTGGGTACTTCTGTCAAATGTGTCTCACGTCGTCTACTAATTGAGAGAGGATCAAGTCTGTATCAGCACAGCTGATGTCCCTTTATAGCGCGTGCCTAGGGCTGTTGCGGGTAATCTCTTTTTATGCACTCTGGACAACGCGTTAGTAGTACCCAACTTGCTAACGACCATCAGGTCGCTAATGGCCTGGTGCTGAGGGCTGTATTGGCCTTTATGGGAGTGTTCAACAGGGAGGCCTGCTTTTCAATGGACAACCTGGGGCACAATGGACACGTCTCTCATCACTGTCTGGGGCTGGTAACCCATCTTCATATGAAAAGGAAGAGGAATAGGAACTTTCTCATGTGTCAGCGTTATAGCAAGCATAAAATACCCCAATTGTATATACTCCAATAGATATACACTACTGGTCAAAAGTTTTAGAACACCTACTCTTTTAAGTGTTTTTCTTTATTTTTTTAACTATTTTCTACATTGTAGAATAATAGTGAAGACATCAAAACTATGAAATATCACATATGGAATCATGTAGTAACCAAAAAAGTGTTAAACAAACAAATCAAAATATATTTTATATTTGAGATTCTTCAAATAGCCACCCTTTGCCTTGATGACAGCTTTGCACACTCTTGGCATTCTCTCAACCAGCTTCATGAGGTGGTCACCTGGAATGCATTTGAATTAACAGGTGTGCCTTCTTAAAAGTTAATTTGTAGAATTTATTTCCTTCATAATGCGTTTGAGCCAATCAGTTGTGTTGTGACAAGGTATGGGGGGTATACAGAAGATAGCCCTATTTGGTAAAAGACCAAGTCCATCTTATGTCAAGAACAACTAAAATAAGCAAAGAGAAACGACAGTCCATCATTACTTTAAGACATGAAGGTCAGTCGATACTGAACATTTCAAGAACTTTAATGTTTCTTCAAGTGCAGTCGCAAAAACCATGATGAAACTGGCTGTCATGAGGACCGCCACAGGAATGGAAGACCCAGAGTTATCTCTGCTGCAGAGGATTAGTTCATTAGAGTTACCAGCCTCAGAAATTGCAGCCCAAATAAATGCTTCACAGAGTTCAAGTAACAGACACATCTCAACATCAACTGTTCAGAGGATATTGTGTGACTCAGGCCTTCGTGGTCGAATTGCTGCAAAGAAACCACTACTAAAGGACACCAATAAGAAGAAGAGACTTGCTTGGGCCAAGAAACACGAGCAATGGACATTAGACCGGTGGAAATGTGTCCTTTGGTCTGGAGTCCAAATTGGAGATTTTGGTTCCAACCGCCGTGTCTTTGTGAGATGCGGTGTGGGTGAACGGATGATCTCTGCATGTGTATTTCTCACCGTAAAGCACGGAGGAGGAGGTGTTATGGTGTGGGGGTGCTTTGCTGGTGACACTGTCTGTGATTTATTTAGAATTCAAGGCACACTTAACCAGCATGGCTACCACAGCATTCTGTAGCGATACGCCATCCCATCTGGTTTGGGCTTAGTGGGACTATCATTTGTTTTTCAACAGGACAATGAACCAACACACCTCCAGGCTGTGTAAGGGCTATTTTACCAAGGAGAGCGATGGAGTGCTGCATTAGATGACCTGGCCTCCACAATTCCCCTGACCTAAACCCAATTGAGATGGTTTGGGATAGGCCTATATATATGAGCCCAAGTCCGAAAAATATACTGAATTAAAATGATTGTGCTGTTATACAATACATACCCTACCGTATATTACGCATGGCAGAAATTTTTTTTTTAAAAAACTGATTTAAGATGTATTTGGTAATTGGTATATCCAATACTCCAAAATTAGTAAATTTGAGTAATCGCCTTTGAGTGTGGACTGTGTTATTATGCATACTGGATGATGGTTACCTTATGCACCAACATTTCTATCCATGAGTCTGGGAGAGAAAGTATAGCCCTAGGTGATGCTGTTGGTTCATTGATTGTGCAGCGCGGCTTACAGTTGGCCTATAAATATAGTGCATTTGTATTTGAATAGCCTATTAATAGGGAATTTTTATATTTTCATAATTAATTGGGTGACACATTACCTTTTTAGCTATACAGAATATCTCACCACCATGCGTTTTCATCTCCTCTCTCTACTTTATTCCTTTTATGTTAATTCATGTTCAATAACCGTGAGACCAGCACTATTTTGCATGACACGAACTGGCTGACGACATGTCATGACTGCCACAGCCCTAACCGTGCCTGCTCCACTTAGCCAGCCCTAACCGTGCCTGCTCCACTTAGCCAGCCCTAACCGTGCCTGCTCCACTTAGCCAGCCCTAACCGTTCCTGCTCCACTTAGCCAGCCCTAACCGTGCCTGCTCCACTTAGCCAGCCCTAACCGTGCCTGCTCCACTTAGCCAGCCCTAACCGTGCCTGCTCCACTTAGCCAGCCCTAACCGTGCCTGCTCCACTTAGCCAGCCCTAACCGTGCCTGCTCCACTAGCCAGTCCTGAGGAACCACTGCACTCACTGGGAGTATGGGCTGCATCACCACATTGTTGTGACGTGACTTTCATTAATATGATGACTGTTATTTATCGAATCAACTAACGATGTTTAATTGTTACTCGATTAAATTAATCATGTAACAATTAAATCATTTGAATTTGGAGCACCACGGGATAAGTTGTTTCTAGAGTTACCATCTCCCAAATTAAACTCTAAAAGGTCTTTACCTATCACTATGTATAAAACAGTCAACGTATCAATAATTACCTCTTATCAGTCTCATTCTGAACGTCGCATAATCCTTGAATCCGCAAGAACCCTAACCTTATTGATGAATAAGCAATACACAAATTGGCTTAATTATTTTACTAGCTAGCTAAATAATAACACAGAATACATAAACACACACACACGGTATAGGTTATTGATTACTAACATAATACAATGAAAACAGGTCCCTAGTGGACTAAGAACAGCATGACTGCTTGGTTAGGGGAAGGAGGGGTCAATAGAAAGAGAGTGAAAGGGAGAGACAAAGAGATTCAACTTATCGTTGTTACATTTGGAAACCACCGCTCATTCGGATAAGAAATGCAATGCATATTTACGCGTAGCTGTCTTTGATCGTCGTCTCTCTGTTGAACCACTTTCTCAAAAAGGGTTTGAGTGTCCTATCCCACTTCGGTGAGACTCGGCTTGTCTTCGAATGGAGTGTTTGTTAGTATAGATACTTCAGATGTTCCAACGGTTGTCTGAGATGGGATTGTCCTTCCCAACTTGTCTTTAGTGAAAGTTCTAGACTACTTTACATGCCAGCTGCAGACTGGTAATGCTACGGTCTAGTAAGAGATTGAGAGTTTGAGTTTCTCACCATTTCAATCGTGTGGACTAACGTCTCACGTTTCCTAGTCTTAGTGTCAACCATTTGTAACGTTCAGCTCCCGCTGCCGGTAGCTTCCAGTTTTGTAGGCTAACTTTCCTCACTAGCTTACATGAAGCTAACATCAATTCACTACCCTATTACCTTTTTTGTGATAATATGCAAATCATAATGCCAAATATTGCTGATTGTCACCAAAAACTTTATTCATTCACTTCATCTCCCCCGCTTCACGTCTCTCCCAGTCAAGATGATGATGATTACAATACATTTTTTAACAATAATAAATCAATACAACAGTACACGGGGAACACAAGTATACATAAATAATATACAAAGGACAGTTGAGCTAGGGATGGGGCTAGGGGCTACAATATCACATTACACAAAGACCTTTAAGGGATATACACACATTTTATAATTCTGAGAGCTTTTTTGTTGGGAGTATTTCATTGTGTTAAAATATTGTTCAATTTCCTTTTGTAAGGTAAGAAAAAGGTCCTGCTGTAGCCATTGATTTACACTGAACAACAATATTAAACTAAACATGTAAAGTGTTGGTCCCATATTTCATGAGCTGAAATAAAATATCCCAGACATTTTCCATACGCACAAAAGGTTATTTATTTCTAAATTTGTGGACACATTTGTTTACATCCCTGTTCTTGAGCATTTCTCCTTTGCCAAGATAATCCATCCACCTGACAGGTGTGGCATATCAAGAAGCTAATTAAACAGCATGATCATTACACAGGTGCACCTTGTGCTAGGGACAATAAAAGGCCACTCTAAAATGTGCAGTTTTGTCACACAACACAATGCCACAGATGTCTCAAGTTTTGAGGGAGCGTGCAATTGGCATGCTGACTCCAGGAATGTCCACTAGAGCTGTTGCAGAGAATTGAATGTTCATATCTCTACCATAAGCTGCCTTCAACATCGTTTTAGAGAATTTGGCAGTACGTCCAACTAGCCTCACAACCGCAGACCACGTGTAACCACGCCAGCCCATGAACTCCACATCTGGCTTCTTCACCTGCGGGATCGTCTGAGACTAGCCACCCGGACAGCTGATGAAACTGTGGGTTTGCACAACCGAATAATTTCAGCACAAACTGTCAGAAACCGTCTCAGGGAAGCTCATCTGTGTGCTTGTCGTCCTCACCAGGGTCTTGACCTGACTGTAGTTCAGCGTCGTAACTGACTTCAGTGGGCAAATGCTCACCTTTGATGGCCACTGGCACGCTGAATCCCGGTTTCAACCGTACCAGGCAGATGGCAGACAGCGTGTATGGCGTCGTGTGGGCGAGCAGTTTGCTGATGTCAGCGTTGTGAACAGAGTGCCCAATGGTGGCGGTGGAGTTATGGTATGGGCAGGCATAAGCTACGGCCAACTAGCACAATTGCATTTTATCGATGGCAATTTGAATGCACAGAAATACCGTGACGATCCTCAGACCCATTGTCATGCCATTCATTCTCCGCCATCACCTCATGTTTCGGCATGATAATGCATGGCCCCATGTCGCAAGGATCTGTACACAATTCCTGGAAGCTGAAAATGTCCCAGTTTTTCCTGCATACTCACCAGATATGTCACCCATTGACCATGTTTGGGATGCTCTGGATTGACGTGTACGACAGCGGGTTCCAGTTCCCGCCAATATCTAGCAACTTCGCACAGCCACAATCAACAGCCTAATCAACCCTATGCGAAGGTGATGCCGTGCTGCATGAGACAAATAGTAGTCACACCAGATACTGACTGGTTTTCTGATCCACGCCCCTACCTTGTTTTTAAGGTATCTGTGACCAACAGCTGCATATATGTGTTCCCAGTCATGTGAAATCCACAGATTAGGGCCTAATGAATTTATTTCAATTGACTGATTGACTTATATGAACTGTAACTCTTTGAAATTGTTGCATGTTGCGTTTTATATTTTTGTTCAGTGTAGCTTCTGCTGTGAATAACAGGGATAAAATGTAGGAAGCCTCTAGACTTCTGATCCTTAGTAATGGTTATGCCTAAATATGTAATATCTTATTTCACTGGAATACCAATATATGAGGGTGTCACACAATCTGTCACACAAGCCATGAGTTCGCATGTATTAACGTTAAGCTGCTTTGTCAAGAGCATCTTTGATTGAGCCTTGAACTGACTGTGGTTCTTAAAGAGACAGCGCCGACTTTTGTAAAAGAAGAGTGCTTCTTTTATGCAAATGTTGTTGATCAGTACAGTAAAATAAGTCCCAAATGGAAAGGAAACAGATTTGTTTTTCATCTGTAGCCAAAACAAGGTCAATAACTCAATGCATTCACAAGCTCCTATTTAATATGCATTCACCTGTATTGTAAATAGGCCTACATCTTGATTAACCCAGTTTATTAATAGACCATTCAAATAAATGATTACCATTATGTTGTTATGTAGTTAGATTGGTAATGTGTCACCCAATTTTGTTTATATTTGTAATTGATTGATTGTATGATTTGTGTAATTGCAATTACATTTGACATTTAAAAAATGTATGCAACTCAAAAGATCCAAGTGCCATTCTGTGACTTTGGCTAATACGCCTTCTTCTTTTCCCTTGGTATTGTTTTGATATCATTTTGGTATCATTTTGGTATCGCGTATCGTGACGGTATCGAGGATCGTGATGGTATTGTGATATTAAACCTGGTATCAGTATCAAAGTCAAAATTCTGGTATCGTGACAACACTACTCTGAGGTAGAGATGCCTGGATTTACAACACGTCAGCTTACAGAGTACACAACTACAAAGGTGGTGTCACTTTGACCCAGCTCACACACACACACTGCCAATACAAAACACACACTGTCAACACAACAGCAGAAGGTCAGAGAGACTGAGCACCACAGCCATCAATGTCACAACAACACACACGCACCTGAGAGCAAAATGGTTTGATCTTTCTACCAGAATCCCCCCCCCCCCCCCCCTCCCCCAGTATCAGTACACAGACACAGTCAGAGACAGGAAATGTAAAGCACAGCTGTGGTCCCTTGAGAGGACTCACCGACTTGGCGGCTTTGTTTACATGCACCCACCACTTCTCCATCCTGTCCTGTTGCCTAGGTCCCTTGGAACCTTTTTAGTAGACCGATACAATCTATTTTACTGTGTCATAGGTAACATTTATAATCTGCATGGTCCTGAAGTCTAGTCTACTTTCTCTACTCAGTATATTGCTTAATTCTAGTTCCAGGATGGTTCTAAGACTATCGCAATAACCCAAACTACTATCTCTCTCTCCCTCTGCTCTCCAGGACACCATTAACAGTGTTAAAGCCCGGCTGGGGAAGAGCCTTCAGATACAGACGGTGCTCAAAGCATTCGAGGCTCGTGACCGCAATCTCCAGGAGTCCAACTACGACCGGGTCAACATGTGGTCCATGACCAACCTGCTGGTGATGATGCTGGTGACGGGAGTGCAGGTCTACCTCATCCGTGCGCTGTTTGACGACAAGAGACACACGCACATGTAACATCCCGCCCACTGGGAAGGGCCAGGGAGAGACTGACAGCTCTGTCTACACCAGCCAGCCAATAGCGAGCAGGACTGGGGGTGAAAATGAGATTGTAAATCATAGGTTTCACACGCGCATGTAACACTCACACACAGAAAAGTTTGTGGTCATACGCACATCCTTAAAAACATAGGTGCTGGGCTAATAAAGAATACTAGTATAGAACAAGAAGGCCCGCACACTGTTAAAGCTCCCAATTCACCACTTTATTGACAACGTTTCGATCCGAAACTGATCTTCGTCAGGTCACACACTCATACATTACGTCACACATCCTTACAGACCCAAATGCCCTACACGTCCAGTCTCTTCCTCTGCTTTGTTCTCCTCTGTCTAGCTGCTGTTGGTCAGAGGGTCTGTGTTGGTATCTGCTCTGTCTATCTAATAATCAGTGGAGGGTGAGACACTAGCCAGACCTTCAGTCATTGGTGTTTAAAAGCGAGCGTAAACGAACAAGTGTTTATCATTAATATGGTAACGTGACCTCAACTATTTCTTCCAGACACAGTTGTGTGACTGTCTTGTCTCTGTGTTACATCTTTCGATGTCTTTCAGTATATGACCCGTGAGTCATGTTGCGAAACACTTTATTGTAGAGTAGGTTATTGATACGCCTTATAGATTCTGATTTAGCTGTCTGTGCCAAACTGCCAGAACTGTGGCCTTCCAAACACTGGCTGGAGTGGACAGCAACACTGGGGCAGAACACACACACACCCTTTCACTCTCTAACTCTCTTTCAAGAACACACACTCATTCACACACACACAATATCTTACTCACAAACACTCAATAGAAAATTGCTGCTGTCTGCCAGTTCCCCTGCTGTCTGCCAGTTCCCCTGCTGTCTGCCAGTTCCAGCGAATGGAGAAGTGGAGTAGGGGAAAGGGAATGGTTCCATCTGTAACCCTCTAAATCCCTGCTGTTCTCTTCTACTCCCTCCTTTCAGTTCTCCTATAACTCTGTCCTGATGGTCTAATGTCAGACTTAGTGGCGACAGGAGAGTCGGGTTTCAGTCATGCAGGCAGAAGCGATATGGAGCCTGCCCTGCCCCTTTCTCTCTATCTAACACACAGCTGTGTCACCACAGCAATCACACTCTGCACCTGGGGGGTAAGCGAGGCAGGGAAGGTTGCGGGAAAAGGGTTGCGGGGGACTGAAGGAGGTGGGAGTGGTTCGGAAATCGTCTAATTTACTGTTATTTAGCTTTATTTTATTGTTTTGTAGCTCTGTCATATACGCACTTGGACAAACATACACGTGGTTGATGCACTAAGATATGTGCCAACATCTTGGAGCAGCTGACAAGTTTGATCTGATTTTTCTCTCAAAATGCTCTATGTTACGAAATAGTTTTTCTATAAATACTCGCTGCGCTGCTGTGTTGATGAGTAACACCACACCGCCATCTTTTGGCTGGACACCAAGCTGCTCACGCAAAACAAAACATTACTAGCTCAGGTGAGCTAGGACTGAGGGGTATACTACAAAGCAGGCTCAATGAATTAGCCAGGTAACTTTGATAAATAACCAGAAATACCTATTGGTTTTCTGGTTCATTTAAGAAAGCTAAACTTCAATATGTGTTTTGGATTGTTGAGTCAATTAGACCATGCCCATTTCAAGCATATCTTTCAAAAAAAAAAAAGTTATTTCTGAATATTCAGGCAAGTTAGCTGGATAATTCATTGAACCTGCTTTGTAGTAAACCCCTCTGGCTTTCACTCTATCCCTGCATTTAGATATTAAATAAGCAATGCTACAGTGACGCAGTATCCACTCTCTTTCTCCTCTTTTACACTGGGGGAATAACTTACTAAAAGATAACAGGGCATTGTTCGAGGGGTCTTGCACTGTGCCATTATGAGCCCCCCCCCCGTCTCAGTTACAGCTACTCTAAGCCAATTACAATGGGTTGTATTGCCACGGTCTGTCTATGCCCACCATTTTGTGTCAAAGTATTTTAGCTGATGCTCAGGCAAGCATCACCATGGGAGATTTAATCAATAAAATGAAATGTTGAATTAACAGAATGTCATTGATATTCTGTTCCAACCTTTTTTGTTCCTTTCTGCACAAGACAATTATGGCCTCTTACTAAGAACAAACTCAATGTTCTGAACCTACAGACAAGTTGTTTAGGAGAAGGTGTCTATTTTACTAACCTGACGATGGAACGAGGAGAGTATATTCTGGGATATTTATCAGACTAATGTTCTATATATGTAAATGTTTAATTTCTAAAATTCTGCTTTTCTGAACATGGTGTCCTGTTGTGTCCTTTGACTTCAAATGAGTGGTAGGAAATGAGAAGAAACCACTGCCGACTACAGACAGCACTTGTTTTATCCAAAGATCTTTCATTTATCGGTGGTAATGAAGGAGAAGAGGTTAGGAAAGCAAAACATTTAAAAGTATTCAGTTTCAACACTCCTTGCAAATATCTTCACCGCTTGCATTACCCAATGTGGAAAAGTGACTGTATCACACTCCCACCACTTGGTGTCGTTGTCTCGGAATCCTGTCATTGTTGTGAATGCGTACACTTGGCCCGTTGTTTGAAATGTGTCTGTAGCCAACATGGCGGACGAGCTGGATGTTGATATCGAAGGAGACGAATATGATGCTAAATTGGGGTAAGAGCGTTTATCATTGATGGACTAAAAGTAATTAATATAACGTTTTAAACGATATTTGGCGATTCAGAGAACCAGAGCCACTAAATAACCCGTTGGACACTCAATAATCATGGCTAGCACGGTAACTAGCTGCTAACGCTAGCTGATGACAACAGGGTCGCTTGATCAGTAGATTAGCTAGGTAATTTAACATGTAATGGTCACCCCTTTGACTACCTAACAACGTCGTAGAGACGAATTTCAAAGACATGGATGTGGCTCCCGGCATCTAACTGCCTCACATCCACGTGAAACCTGACACTCATGACACGCCCACTCCACTGTCTTTGCTGCAGCAGATCTTTTTTGATAGACCAGGGATGTGATTTTTTTTTTCCTCTTCTGATTAATCAGGAATTCCTGCTTTTCTGACATTTATCCTCCATTCATATATAATAGCCAAAATTGAGAGTTTCCTTTGTTAGTAATAATAATAATATGCCATTTAGCAGACGCTTTTATCCAAAGCGACTTACAGTCATGCATGCATACATTTTTGTGTATGGGTGGTCCCGGGGCTTGAACCCACTACCTTGGCGTTTCAAGCGCCGTGCTCTACCAGTTGAGCTACAGAGGATTAGGATCCCCGTTAGCTGTTACTGAACCAGCATCTACTCTTCCTGGTGTCCACACAAAACATAAAATATGACATAATACAGTACATCTATGCCGCGTTCAAGTGCTAGTCGGAACTAGGAAGCTCGGACATTTCCGACTTGCTAAAAGGTTGTAGTTATATTACACACGTGCAGCGTTCAAGTTAGCAAATGTTGTAGTTCTGACTAGCACATGAATTCGGCACAATAGACAATAACAGTTCAAGGATTGAACTATTTTATTTTATTTCACCTTTATTTAACCAGGTAAGCCAGTTGAGAACAAGTTCTCATTTACAACTGCGACCTGGCCAAGATAAAGCAAAGCAGTGCGATAAAAACAGTTACATGTGGGGTAAACAAAACATCAAGTCAAAAATACAACAGAAAATATATAAACAGTGTGTGCGAATGTAGTAAGTTATGGAGGTAAATAAGGCAATAAATAGGCCAATTAGTTACAATTTCGTATTAACACTGGAATGATAGATGTGCAAAAGATGATGTGCAAATAGAGATACTGGGGTGCAAATTAGCAAAATAAATAACAATATGGGGATGAGGTAGTTGGGTGGGCTAATTTCAGAATGGCTGTGTACAGGTGCAGTGATTGGTAAGCTGCTCTGACAACTGACGCTTGAAGTTAGTGAGGGATATAAGAGTCTCCAGTTTCAGAGATTTTGGCAGTTCGTTCCAGTCATTAGCAGCAGAGAACTGGAAGGAATGGCGGCCAAAGGAGGTGTTGGCTTTGGGGATGACCAGTGAGATATACCTGCTGGAGCGCAGACTACGGGTGGGTGTTGCTATGGTGACCAGTGAGCTAAGATAAGATGGGGATTTGCCTAGCAGTGATTTATAGATGACCTGGAGCCAGTGGGTTTGGCGACGAATATGTAGTGAGGGCCAGCCAACGAGAGCGTACAGGTCACAATGGTGGGTAGTATATGGGGCTTTGGTGACAAAACGGATGGCACTGTGATAGACTACATCCAATTTGCTGAGTAGAGTGTTGGAGGCTATTTTGTAAATGACATCGCTGAAGTCAAGGATCGGTAGGATAGTCAGTTTTACGAGGGCATGTTTGGCAGCATGAGTGAAGGAGGCTTTGTTGCGAAATAGGAAGCCGATTCTAGATCTAACTTTTTTGATTGGAGATGCTTAATGAGAGTCTGGAAGAAGAGTTTACAGTCTAACCAGACACCTAGGTATTTGTAGTTGTCCACATACTCTAAGTCAGACCCGCCGAGAGTAGTGATTCTAGTCGGGTGGGCGGGTGCAAGCAGCGTTCGGTTGAAGAGCATGCATTTAGTTTTACTAGTGTTTAAGAGCAGTTGGATGCTACGGAAGGAGTGTTGTATGGCGTTGAAGCTCGTTTGGAGGTTTGTTAACACAGTGTCCAATGAAGGGCCAGATGTATACAAAATGGTGTCGTCCGCATAGAGGTGGATCCGAGCGTCACCAGCAGCAAGAGCGACATCATTGATATACACAGAGAATAGAGTCGGCCCGAGAATTGAACCCTGTGGCACCCCCATAGAGACGGCCAGAGGTCCAGACAACAGGCCCTCCGATTTTACACATCGAACTCTATCTGAGAAGTAGTTGGTGAACCAGGCGAGGCAGTCATTAGAGAAACCAAGGCTATTTAGTCTGCCAATAAGAATGCGGTGGTTGACAGAGTCGAAAGCCTTGGCCAGGTCGATGAAGACGGCTGCGCAGTACTGTCTTTTATCGATCGTGGTTATAATATCGTTTAGGACCTTGAGCGGGGCTGAGGTGCACCCATGACCAGCTCGGAAACCGGATTGCGTTGCGGAGAAGGTACGGTGGGATTCGAAATGGTCGGTGATCTGTTTGTTAATTTGGCTTTCAAATACTTTCGAAAGGCAGGGCAGGATGGATAAGGTCTGTAACAAACAAGTAAATAAGAAGAATATAACCAAAATAGAACGCTACTGACAGTTACAGTGAGGGAAAAAAGTA